GCTACATTATAAACAAAAACATGCAAAGTCAAATAACTAAAACAAGTAAAGAGAGGAGAAAAACAACTATTCTTATCAAATAAAAGCTTCAATTCTGTAAATTTTCACATACATAGATCAGTTATATCAATTTAAACTCTAAATGTTGGACAAAAGAATCAGGTTTCAATTTTTTTTCCTGAAATTTGAAAATAGGGAGGAGAATAGTCTGATTTTGACCAGGAGGCTGTTTTAGACAAGAGTCATAGCCTGTAGCTTTGTTCCTGCTCACTTCGTGGAAGTGGGAAATTACTAGCTGTTTCTCCAAAGATGACTGCTCAATCAGATGGTTCTAATTGGAGTTTGTTATTTTTATAATTGCTAGGAGAACATAAGGACTGCTGATGTGCTATGACTCTACTGAAACTCTGACCACTCTTTCAAAAACAAAAGACCCTTCTTTTACTCTATAAATGTAATATCTGAGACATATCTGCTCTCACTATAAAGACGTTATAAAGCAAATAAATGTGAATTGCATGAAATATGGCTTGTATGATATATGACATATTTCTCTTTAATAATTGCACTTATTTCCTATACTTGTATCTTTTTAAAACAAGAGAAAATGAGAAAATATTAGAAATTAATTTTCAATGGTCACATGAAGGGTAAATGTGGTATGTTTAACTTATATTGGATATCATAAAAATATGTTCTTTGAGATTTACAAATCTTAGAGCAAGGCCCAACAAATTCACAGAAAATTGTAAACAGTTCAAAACATGTTTAGTATTTTAAAGTATTATGAAGCAGTTATTTGGTAAAGAAAAGGGTATTATAAATACAAATACTGGTTGTGTGCTTGAAAGATTTACATTTTCCTAAAGCATAAGTCATATTGTGAGTGTCATCCACTGATACCGAATAAGCTGCAGCATTTATCTAGTGGGTTTATGAGCACCAGTGAGGAGTAAATGATTTGATTTTGTGGGCTCAGAGGATTTGTCAGCTGCCTCAGAAGTATAATTCTAGCTCTTCATATCCCTGCTGCTTCTAATTTAGCAGGACAGGCTCATAATTGAAGCAAATTAACTATTTACACTTGCCACTTCTACCAGGCGAAAGAGGATGTATCAGCGGGAAAGACTGAGTGGGAAATTAAATCCTTCCCACTTGTGTCAGATCTGCCCTTATATAAACACATTAACAGTAATTTCATGAGGCGTCAAACATAGGAATAAATACTGAGGGATAAAATAATGAGGTGTTGCTATTGAGCTGAACTGTTGCAGCTAATATTCCTGAGAACAAATTATGCAGCCCTGAAAGAAAGCATATGGCACAGCATTCCAACCATTCTCTGGAGTGCCTTATCTGATGATAACAAATCTTTCCTGAGGTACATAACCCTGCCTTTCTGCTACCTTAACCAAGGACAAGGATTAAATAAACATGCACATTCAAATTCACATGTACTGAGATCAGCTAGTACTGGCTAGGACTCAGCTAAGATTGATGTTGTTACAGATGTGAACTTTGTGCAGCACGTTTTGTGTGGGCATGGAATTCCATTTTCAAGAAAACTACCTGATATACTGAGCTCTGTGTGACATCAAAGCCATTCACAATAACATAAACAAGGACAATTTGTTTCTAAGTTGCTTTTGCTATTATAGCTGCACTGGGTCTTCAACTTAAGTTGCATTTAATACATTTACATCTGATTCTGATTTTTTTTTAAAAAAAGTTTTCAGCTACAAAAAAGTAAAACGAATCCATTACATCACCTTTAAGAACATAGTGTAATAGAATATTTTTTTTAAATTAAAGAAAGATTTGCTTTTAAATCTTGTCACTATGTGTCCATAATGAAAAAGCACACCTAGTGGGGGAGGGGGGGGAACCTAAAGAAAATTTGTTACAAACAACTGAGTGTAAAAGGGCCTACTATGAAGGCAGTGCACGGAGGACAGAAAAAAAAGAGAAAAATTGCACAAGGTCAATAACCCTTAGTTTCTATGAAAAAAATATTCAGAGCCTCACATGAATATAAATGTAGGAATAAAGGGGGAACTAAAGGCCTTATATAATTTGTATATTTTCAGAAATTAAAGCTGGGACACACAACAGATTCCAACAATATTCCACTTATACAAGAAACAATCCATGCTGATCTTTTATCCACCCACAGATGCATTCTCATCACATTGTTCACACTGAGCCTGCCCACCAATCAATCATGGTAGACCTACTATATACAATTAAGTATTCTTAATTCACTAGCAAATAATAATAATGGCTAAACGGAATAACTTAGCTGGCAGATAGCAATAGCATTTAGACTTTATATACCACTTCATGGTGCTTTGGAGCTCTCTGTAAGCATTTTACAGAATCAGCATATTTCCCCCAACATTGTGGGTCCTCATTTTACTGTCCTCAGAAGGATGGAAGGCTGTATCAACCTTGAGCCTGATGAGATTTGAAACACCAAATTGCAGGCAGCTGACAGTCAGCAGAAGTACCCTGTAGTACTGCATTTTAACTACTGCGCCAGTACAGCTCTCAATGTTGCTTGGTTTAAATTAATGGGGAATTGATCATTGTTTGAATTTTGCTTTAAGGTTTCAATCACATGAAAATATGTAGCAAATGTTAATATTTGCTTTATTGCACGTTCTTTAATGCATTACACATTGGTTTTTCTATAGTTTAGAAGATAAACTGTCAAACTGTAGTGATTTCCTTTATTAACTGACATAGTAATGAAATAAACACAGCTGGAAAATGAGAAACCCTTGGATGTTTCCATCAATTAGCATAAACATATCTGGCAAACACTTGAAAGAACTGTCTGCAATGATTTGTGTGTAAATTCTAAAAAACAAGAGACAAATTATTTCATGTCATATTTAGAATGGGTGTCAGGACACTGCATATACTCCCTGATAGGTGAAGTGAAGGTAGCAATAGTAAAAAGTAGTCTCTAGAGATCCTAGCTTATACAGAATACAGTGAGTTGCTTAGGGTCAAACTGGACTTTGGTTGCATTTATGCTATATTAAGCCCCAATTGATCAATACTTACTTTATGTTGCAAGAAGTAATGTAATTATAGATTATTATTATAATATTAATAAGTCATAACCTGGTCTACAGTTTTTCCTACTAAAAAGCATTCTATAGAAGATTTCGTTGATGAAAACCATGCATTTTAATAGAGGTGATGAGGGTAGGAAAATAAGCTCTACAAAATAAGGATAAGGACTTTTTTTATAGTGTGTAAGCACAAAGAAAAAAACTCACAAAGAACAAAGGAGAGCAAAGAGTGGTTGACATAAAAAGTGATTAAAAAAAGACAATCATTGTGATCAATTTTGACAGAAAGAAAAAAATGATTTGAAAAATGTGTGAAGAAAACTAAGCAAGATGCTTCCAGCAGCGAAAATAAAAATAAAAGCAATTAAATGTAAAGAACTGAAGTGAATGAATGCTGGAAGGAGTGTTATGAGGCATATAAATACTGATAGAAAAGCAGTATAGCAGTTGCACAGAATTAATTGATAATGGCTGTGTTTAAGAGCATGCTACTGCCCACTTTGTTACATGTGAATGAGGACTGGATAAATCAAAAGAAATGTAATAGTAGAATTACGTGGAAATAAAGTACCTAAAGTATGCATGAGAAAAATAAAACAAAGATATGATCAAGAATTAATGGGTGCTCAATGAATGTAGAGCTGTGGCGGCAGTGGTGAGAATACAGTATTGCATGCTGACTCTGCACATTGCTAGGAGTTCGATCCTGAGTTACTCAAGGTTGGCTCAGTTTTCCATCCTTCCAAGGTTGGTAAAAGACAAAGATGCTAATTATTTTTTATCTGATATGTAGTATATATTTAGAAGAAGCAATAATATTACAGCTGTTAAATGGAATCCTATTATATTTTTGCTATTTTAACCATGTTACTAATGAAGAAGTGCTGCAAAAGAGTTCCTCCTCCAAATTACATAACATTGTTGCAACGTAGGAGACATAGGTAACTTGAAGATCATATACTCTGCATGGAGAATAATCTCCCAATGTGGCAATGAGTTTCCGATGCCAAATGACCAAGAGGATGCCCTTGAAATATGTGGCTAAGAACGTTCATAGATGACTTAAAGACTTTAAGTCACTTGGGAAGACGCTGATCTACTCCCCCGAAACTGAAAATACTGGATATTCCTTGCTTCTCGATTGCTACATAGTATGGGAAGATCTAATGCTAAAGCTAAAATGCTAAACCGAATCCAGAGTGTTTTCTGAAAGCTTTCTTTTGTTATGAGAAAACCCTATTTTCTTTTCAATTAGATAGCAGTGCAACTTCCTCAAACAATGACAGTTTCAAGCCTGTAATTGAAAAAAATGCTGTCAGAGGCATTTGCCTGACAATATTTGTGATAAATTTGTCCACATGCTGGTGCCATTTGGTTAATTCATTCTTATTATAGCACTGAAGTGCAGATCACTCAGTTGGCTCTTTAATTGTTCTGTAAATGTAATTAATTTTCATTGCATTAACACCATTCATTTTGTTGATATTTTTTCTTCTTTTAACACTTTTTTTGGTTTTAAAAACATTATCTCTATTTTTAAACATAATTGTCCTGATTTTTTAAAAAACAAAAAAAAAGACAAAAACTCAATTATCCAATAAAGCCATTTTCTTAATGTAACAATCAAATGGGTGAAAAATTATAATGTAATTTGTTCAGCTTGGTTTGTTCAATAATTCAG